ACTTTGCAATGTTGTCCATAGCTTGTCAGGATCCACACAATCAAAAGCATTTAAAGTAGTAGATTAGATTTTTGTCCTAGAAAATTAATTCAGGCAGTAATAAATACATTTTAAAGTTCTAGCAAGAGAATCCAATCCCATAAACGGTCAATTTTTTCCCCCAAGTAACTTCCATACTCTTTTTTCTCACTCCCTGGAGAAATTCTGGTGACATTTTTAAGGTTCAGTTCAAGCTCAACTTAAGCCTCTTCGCAGCTCATGCCTTCATGTACTCAATGCACTAATGGTTCTTAGATAATACCTCTGTTTGCGCATCTACTATACTTTCCTTACAAGCCTCTCCCAGTGCCTGGGTGATGCAAATGGTTAATGCATTCAGCTGCTAAACAAAGGTTGACTGTTTAAGTTCATCCAGAGATACAAGGCCTGCTGGTCTATTTCTGAACAAACAGCTGTTGAGAACCTATGGAGTAAGTTTTTCTCTGACACATATGGTGGCAGGTTTTCTCCCTCCCAAGATGAATACTCGTTGTTGCTGTTGTTACCTGCCATCTAGTTGGTCCCTGACTTACAGAGTACCCCATGAACAATGGAATCACACAGTTGTGGTCCAAGTGTGGTGCTGTGAGTCAATGTGCTGGACTGCAAAGTCATTTTAAACTGCAAGATCAGCGGTTCAAGCTCACCAACCGCTTCTCGGAAACTCTAGGCTGGGTAGCTATGAGTCAGGACCGACTCCATGGCACAATACCACAACCACTACCACCACTACCATAGTTGAAGTGATCCAACAAGGAGAATTACAGGCTTGTTAGCAGGGGAGACATTGCACCAACTAGGAATGTAAATGTTTCTGAAATCTGAAACCTTTGTGCAAAACAGAAATGTTTTTATGGTTGTTGCTGTTCAATGCCATTGAGTCAGTTCCGTTGGCAAGAGGGCTGGGAAATACATGCAATTCCCTTTCTGACTCTGTAGAACTTAAAATTTAGGTTGGGATCCTTTGGCTTGCTCAAAACACGTTTTGAATTTGTTGAATACGCTACTCAAAAATCTTACTGAGAAATCTTTCCCAAATGCATTGCTTTACCTCAGACCTTCAGAGTTTCTGCAATGCTGTTTATTCCCAGAATGTCTTGTAGTCCAAACACTTCCAACATGCACACAGATACCTTCCCTACCCCCCCCATCAGTTTTACCTTATCCTTCAAAACTCAACTCCCAGCCTTTATGAAGCCAAGGGAGTTCTGGTGTGGCACTGTAGGGTAAGCACTGGACTGCAAGTTCAAAC